ATAAAGTCTTTTTTTATTATATCAATATTATATTTATACCAATAAAGCATAAATGCTGTTCTTTTAAACTTTCTATTTGTCAAAAAATCCTTGTATTGGAAAAAATGTATCACTGTTTCCACAAAAATATCAAGCAGCACAAAATACAACATTTTCAACAGCATATAAAAATGATTTCTGAAGGATCATGTGACACTGAAGACTGGAGTAATGATGCTGAAAATTCAGCTTTGTCATCACAGGAATAAATTACATTTTAAAAAAGAAATTAACAAAGAAATTAATTGAAATAATACTTCATAAATACATTTTGAACAGTAGTGTTCTAATGCAGGTTGATTACAAAGAGCACAGTAAAGACCTCCATAGATAGTCTTAAGATACTGTGCCTTTAAACCAAACCAACACTAATGCATACATCCCAGAGCAAACATCACTCAAGCCCTGGCGCTTCATAACAGCATAATTGCACACTCACAGCAATTGTATGAACAGATGAGGCAGGATTTTGAGGTCCCATGATGTAGTCAACAGTCATATCTCTTCCAGGATATGACCTAAAAAGCTATTACCCTGGGAAAGACAACAGCACATCAACACCAGACCTCACTGAATAATCTAATGAATGTGGCTGTTAGTCTGTCTTTCCTTATTTGCTCTGTGACATTTTCTCTCCCAGCACCATTTATTTAGTGCCCATGTCATCTGCATGGAAAAAAAAATCCATCATCATCAGTGCTCTGATATCAAATGCAGTCATGAAACTAACACTAAACCAACAGCTCCGCATGCTTGCGACATTGTCTGTAATTTTTCTGCCTCTCTCATTAAAAGCTAATCCATTAGAAGCCTTGATCAGTGGGGCTGCAGAAGAGCGGATGGGTTTCCATTTAGAGTTTACATAATGGAGGTCAGCCAGTCCAGCTCTCGGGCCAGACTAGGATCGACTAGAAAACAAACCCTGGCCTTTGGACTCTCATCCAGCAGTCACAAGCCAATTTTCCTAATGGCAAGTTACAGTATTGATCCCTACTGAACTAATCAAAGCAATGTTAAGTCTGTTATTGGCATATGCAGCCATGAGATTTATCCGCTGTTGTCGTGCGAGAAAACAAGGTGGGAAAAAACAAACAAATGAAAGGTTTTTGTTCAAATTATGTAACAATGAAATGAATAATATTAAACATAAATAAATAAAACATGGGAAGCAACAAAGCAAACAGAAAATGAAGATACAAATACACAAAATGTAAAAGTAAAAAAAAAACTTGTTATAAAATGTATACATTCATACATATACACATTCATGTGAGTTTGTGTTATATTTTTACATTAATATATTAATATAAATATATATTTTAAGTAATATAAATATATATTTTAAGTAATATAAATATATATATATATATATATATATATATATATATATATATATATATATATATATATAGGTTTACATAAACTTAATTTAAAATAAGTATAAATGGCCAATGTAATACATTCATAAATTTACTTAAATTTTTAATGAATTAATTAATAAAATAAAACAATAAAAACTTATGTAATTGTTTGTTGTGTAGTTATTTATTTAGATTTAGATACAGTTGTGTAGTTATTTAGATATTTATTTTAGATAAACTCATATTGCACGGACTTTGAATCAAATTAAAAAGATATTAAATTAATGCTAGAACTTCGAATGTATACATTTTGTACATTAGGTTTTACATTTTCTAGATTTTATTCAAGTTTTAACAGAAAAATATTAAGACCTTATCTATCTTATCTCTTCATGTATACATTCATGTAAGATAAATGTCCAAAAACAAGTCATGTCAAGCACACACACATGAACATTATCTATGACCCTGTTAAGTCAGAGATAGTAAGGTTGTTGAGTGTACCGGACACCGTATGGCCACATTTAATCTCAATGGGACTATGCGTAATCAATAACATCAGGACAGTAGCAGAGGCGTCCCACAGGGGTCATAGACACCACCCCTCAGGAACCTGAGCACTTAGACAAAACAAGAAAGGCAACTAGAGAGGAAAGATGCAAAAATGCTGTTCATCAGGCAGACGACGAGCCAAATAGTTTTCAAAATACAGACCCCTGACCCACATTAACTTCATTCCACAGCCACATTTTAGCTTGATTCCCCAGGGTCAGACTCCTCCAGAGTCCAGAGAGCCAGTATTATCCGGCACACGCACACTGTCTGTTTTTGCCAGGCGTGTTTGTGATTCGGCAGGCCGTATTATATGTGCTAATCCCGTGGCTTCAATACTGGGGATTGCGGTCAAACTGAGTGTATAACGAGTTTCCTCAAGCTCAACTGTGATTGGACAAGCAAATACCAAATAGGCCTAGTACATGCTGATACTGGTTACTCATTAATATTAGAAGGTCATCAACAAAAGCACAGTCCAAATGTCACCATGGTGCAAATCACAATGTCAAATGCTACAAGTGTCTTAAAAATATAGGTTCCATTTGTTTTCACATTGATGCCATATAAGGACATTTCAGTGAACAGTTCTAATAAGAACTATTTCTTTCTTAGCCATTTTTATAATTCTTTAAAAAAGAATCCTCTTCCACTGTAAAGAACCTTTTTGTGCCAATAATGAACCTTTATTTTTTAGAGTGTAGTGTAGTGAACACATCTACACACAAACACACAGATGTCCAAATTCTGACCCTCATCCAACAAAACCAGATCAGTACACAATGGACAAACATAGGCTAAATCAAAAAGGACAGTTACATTTTAGATAAATAAATCATCAATAGGCAGGCTGTTTACGTATAGCTGATTAAGCATTATGTCACTTGGCAGTGGCACACCCACAGGAAAAATGCACACCAGTCTCATTCCATTCAGTTCCTCAGGTGAGGTCAAAACTATACGCCTGCTTCACCTGAGTCACTTATGTATGGGCACGGGACAAAAACGACACAAGCACACACACCAGTTCATCTGGGGCTGGTTGCACTGTGCGTAAGTTACGCCTACAATTTTACAAATTACAGCCTAATTTTGACGTAAATGGACACCAAGTTACAACTTACGAACTACTATTTTTGCGTTAATACCATCAACACAAAACCATCCTAAACGGCGCGCCAATGTGTGCATCGGTCGGTCGGTGTTGTGCATGTTAAATAAAATTGATTTTTTCGCCACAAGAGGGCGCAGTTTCCAACAATAACAAAGGCGTAGGTTATTGACGCAGTGATGAGCTGAATGATGGGACTTGCTGTCAAGCTGATGGATCTAATAATGTTTATGGATGAGTGCAAACATTCATGTTTTTTATCAAATATTACACGCGAGTCCCACGGATATAAAGGAATAAGGACATTTCATTCTACCGAACTACCCGCAAGTGCTGGATAACTCACACAGGTCAGTTTATTAGACAAATTAAACTTGAGGTAACGCAGCGCTGCTTCACTCGGTCTAACGTTACACTATCACACTAAACGGCATTTAAATGTGTGTTGAAAGTTATAATGCTATACTACGTGTTAGTTCGTTTGCTATACGAAACTAGCAGTAAGCTAGATCAACATTAGAATAACATACTGACCATATTCTAACATTTCATCATGTTGAGCTAACGTTATATAACATTGATTTGTTTTATGTACATTTGCTCACCTGTCTAATAAAGCTGTCAAGTCGTGACTCGTGAAGCTCTGTCGAGTCCAAGTTAGTCGCGGACGTGGAGCTCTCGGCATCTCAAAAACGCCACGCTGATATTGATCCTCATTTTAGTTCTCCTTGTTTGTCCCAAAGTCTGCTTGCCATGGTCTATGTTTGAAAGAAACAAGAACTGCATGCCGCTAAACGTTACGCACTACGCAGTTGTCCACGTCTGTCGCCATGGTTACGTCATGGCTATGGCAGTATGAACGGAAACCGAGGATAGCGCGAATATTGCGTCATTGACAGGCGACATTTTTTTCCGGGACAGCCACTTATTTAAAATGGGAATTTCTCTGAAATAAAAAATCTTTGGAGACTTTTGGGATATTGTAAGTACACAACTGCAGGAAATATATCACACTGTGCAAGTGATTTTTGGATATTTTATTACAAAATTCTTACATATTGCACCTTTAACTCAATTTGGTAGCAATCACATCGTTATCTACATAGCGCAGCTGATTGGTTGCTGTTGCATCAGCAGCCAATGAGCTGCGGCTCAACATTCAAGTACTGCTAGTGTTGCTGTTAGCAGTCTGCAGTGTGCTTTCAGAAACCCTCCACCTATATAGATCTGCTACAGGGGTTAATTCATGTTACTGATGCATCATCAGCAGCAAGTCTTACAAGCTCATAACAATGTCTGTGAATGTACTGGCAGTAGCAAGTCTCAGTACTTGCTCTGCATCAGCAGTAGCAGCAGCGTAGCAAATCTATTCCGCCCAGTCCAAATACATTAGCATTGCCACATCCATTACCATGCCAATCTCTCCGGGAGTTGTCATGACAGAAACTTATTTTTACTGTTAGTAACGTGAGGCAAAAGAAGTTAGAATGAAGGATAAACTGCAGCATTTCAACAACTTTCTGCTCACGTATTTGAAGGCTGCTATTGGATCATTGAAGGTAAATCTATGCATTACTTTACAAAGAGCTTACGACCTACTAGCAACGTTCTGCTTTCAAGAACAAATGGGGCAACTAAATAAAGTACTGAGTAAGTTACAATCTAGCTAGTAGTTACTAAGCCTATAGTGTGGACTTTTATGTTCCAATTTAAGTAAGAAATTACAAATGGATGGTGCAACCATAACCTGGGGTCAAAGGGTAAGTATGCATAAAGCTTATCTATCTACAGTGATCCATGTATCGTCACATGGCAACCCACACAGCAAACTCTAACTGAGCTACACTAGCTGAGAAATACAGAAACAAACACCCTAAAACATCAATGTTAAAGTGACTTCACAAGTGATTTCTCTAAGTCAAAGGCAGCACGCTCACCTCACAGAAAGGCACATCAAGAGAACATAGTCGCGTGAAATCCAGGCAGCGAGAGCTGTGTTGATCTCAGCCCTGAATGCTGCGGTGTGGGAAGCACGCAGACCGCAGCGGCTCATACATCTCTCACCATCAAATCAGAGAACTGGTCCTGAAATAGCTGATGAAACTCCCTCTACTCCACTAGATCAACACAAAAAAGCACTCTTCAAAACAGCACAGCCTCCACTGGATGTACAGTATAAGCAGTCTGAATATTATAATATCTGACTACAACTGTAAGCTTGAGCTCAGAGTCTGAATAAGTGCCCCACACAGTCAAACAGATGTTCCCGGTCTAACTGAGACCGCCCTCTTCCTGTATATTCCACACCTCCTTTCTGCACTGTCCAGTGGGAGAGCTGACAAGTGTTAAGGGAAAAAGAGTGAGATCTAAGATGTTACAGTTAACACAAACAAGGAGAAAAAACATGAATTATAGAGAACCAATTACTACATTGTGTGTGCTAGGCAGTGTTGATTATTATTACCTAAAACGGTTTAAAATTTTGAAATAAAGCTGAAATTAAATACAATATTAATACTAGATGCACATAACAAATTACTAAAACTTAAAATAAAATAAATAAAACATTTAAAAAAATAAACGCTAATTCACAATATAAAAAACATAATATAGCCTATATATAATACTAAAATTACACTGTAGCTAAGGCAACTGTCACGATTACTGAACTGTTAATGTGATGGACATGAATAATACCTCAAATCATGAGGTTTACTGGGGAGTTGTGCTATTATTTTTCTAAGCAAGACTTAGGATTTTCAATTAGTGTCCATAAAATTAGCAAAACAATACCATTAACATTAATATCTTAAAGATTAGGGGTCTCTTTAAGACTCGCCTAGACAACCACCTTAGAAACCACCCAGCAACACACTAACATTGTGTCGGCAAGTTTTAGCGTGAACAAGCACTGCACGTTTTCTTTGGAAAACAAAAAATCTAGAACGGTTTAAACCCTTTATACATATTAAACTCACTGGTTTACACTGCCAACAATGCAGCCTACTCATCCTCGCAAATAAAGATGTTTTCGTTACCAGCTTTCCCTACATGCCTACAAATAAAGCCTGCTTTTGTTAAAGTGGGTTCAATGAAGATAGTAAACAAGTCAAAGCAGATTATGCAAGACTTGATTTGAAATTATCACAATTGTGAATGCCTTCTGTCTATTAACTCCAGTTTACAAACCTTTAGCTTAGAAACACAGCTGGAGAGGCCGATTAAAAAGCCGAACAGCTGTCACAGAACATCTTTACTGCAATGTTAGTGATTATTTCCATTTTTTGGTTCTGTAGCAAAGCACTACCCAGCTTTCAGGCATTTCATGCAAATCCTATCTGGTGGAATACATACTTCAGGAAATACTGTTTGCATAGTTGCATAGTCTATGAATAAATCTCAAAACGTTGTTGTTAGTAATAGTTTCAAAAACATTTTCAATTCAACATTGCACGGCATCTGCAACTACATGACTGAATTGTGCAAAGTAAGCGTTCAATACCAATGGAGCCAGACCTGGGTGAGAATTTTCTGTCAATATTGGTTGTTGACATTGTCTTACAGTGACCAGTTGGTTAACATTGACCAGCTGAAAAGGAAAGTTGTTTCAAAGACCGAACAATGTTGACTTAAAGAGTTGTCTGACACTCAGACAGCAGACATCTGATCACATTATAAACACTGATTGATCATTCAGTTTGCATCAGACAGACCATATCAACCCAGCGACTGATTAATCACTAATTTACGTCACTCCATTGATCTCCATCAACCAATCAGCTGTGCTCTTGTACACAGACACAAAAACACGTACACAGTGTCTGGTTGCCTTACTTGAGCAATCTGCTTCAGATATGAAATGCCATTATTTTCCCAGAATACCACTTCGAAGCAATAATGAAAGCCTTGGTTTCCAAGCGCAGATCAAATTTCCTCTGTTTAAAGGACACGAACCAGAGTGCATCTGGCTCTTTCCTCTCCTGTGCTGAGCACGGGTCACAGAGGTCAGGTTAGGGTCATCGTCGGGAAGTGTGGGCACTGCTAATGGGGATGCATGTCTGTCAACAGCAATTATTGATCATAAACTTTGCTCCTTTGCATCAGTGGAGTGAACAAATACATTCACTTCACTGCATCAGCACAACAACAGCTACCATCTGAGGTCCGAGATATGCCAATTTTGTTAACGTGATGAACTTTTTAGAATAGAATAGAATAGAATAGAATAGAATAGAATAGAATAGAATAGAATAGAAAAGAAAATCTAACTGCCATATATTGGTTATATATTGAAATATCCCCCCAACTACAATTACATTTCCTGATGGAAACAGCTTGCTTGCAAGGCAGCAAAAAAAAAAGAAAAAGTTTTTTTGGTAAAATCAGATTTTAGCTTTGGTTGAAATTTGTGAATCAGTTGTGAATCAACACATTATTGTTTTGTGCCTTTGCAGTATAAATGACATTTAGTATACAAATGAATGTAAGAGAGACCCATTACAATACAGAAAGCAATATTACAATGACATTGTAACATTTTGATTAAAAAAATATTCTAACAAAACAGGATTTTAAGTTTAAATAAATCCGGTGGGGAAAAAAAATACTTAAGTATTCATTTTTTGAGTTATTAAAAACACACAAGTCTAAATATAATAATTTTGTGCGTTTACATGTACAAAAAAAGGTAATGATAAAAAAATCATTATCTGATTGGTTGTTGGAAATCAATGGAGTGACGTGAATTCGTGATTAATCAGTCTGAGGGGCTGTTTACACGACACCGGTTTCAACTAAAAACGTAAAAAATGTATGCATTTTGGCCGTTATTTTACACGACAACAGCGTTTTGGGTGCCTGAAAACGCGAACTTTTGAAAACGGGTTTCAAAAGTGCACGTTTTTAAAAACAGTCTCCGTGTAAACAACAAAAACGCAAATCTCAGAAGACGATGACGTCATGCACATGCGTATTACGTGTTCAGTCTGTTTCATCACCATCTAGGCTAATGGCCTGGCAGCAGAATACAGGGTTTTCAGTCATTTTCGTGGATCCGTGTGAATGGTGATCGCTTTGACAACGGTGTCGTCTGTACGCGGGAAACTCAAAGGAAAAACTTATAAAAGGACTAACCCTAACGTCAACCAAGTCTTTTTTATCAAAGGCAAACAGCAGGGAACTTCCGTCGCTTACAGCCCAGTCCATTACAGCACCAGCTTTTAATTATGCCTATACATATCTTAAAGGATTAGTTCACTTTTAAAAAAACTTTTGCTGATAATTTACTCACCCCCATGTCATCCAAGATGTCCATGTCTTTCTTTCTTCAGTCGAAAAGAAATTAATGTTTTTGATGAAAACATTCCAGGATTTTTCTCCATATAATGGACTTCAATGGTAGCCAAACGGTTCAAGGTCTAAATGACCGTTTCAGTTCAGCTTCAAAGGGCTTTAAACGATACCAGACGATGAATAAACGTCTTATCTAGAGAAACGATCTGTCATTTCAAAAATAAATAAAAAAGTTAAATTGTTATAGGCACAAATGCTCGCCTTGCTCTCCTGTTCGAACTCGTTCATCAAAATGAACAAATCTTTTTTCGAGTCAATGACTCGAAAAAAGATTCGTTCATTTTGATGAACGAGTCAATGACTCGAAAAAAGATTCGTTCATTTTGATGTACGAGTTCGAACAGGAGAGTTCGCAAGGCGAGCATTTGTGCCTATAACAATTTAACTTTTTTATTTATTTTTGAAATGACAGATCGTTTCTCTAGATAAGACGTTTATTCATCGTCTGGTATCGTTTAAAGCCCTTTGAAGCTGAACTGAAACGGTCATTTAGACCTTGAACCGTTTGGCTACCATTGAAGTCCATTATATGGAGAAAAATCCTGGAATGTTTTCATCAAAAACATTAATTTCTTTTCGACTGAAGAAAGAAAGACATGGACATCTTGGATGACATGGGGGTGAGTAAATTATCAGCAAAAGTTTTTTAAAAAGTGAACTAATCCTTTAACACCCGTCTGTGAAACGAGGAAACGATTTCGAAATTTTCACTTTGTTTCTTCAATCAGTACAGCACAAAATGCAAATCATTTAATCAAATTAGGGATGTTAACGATTAATCGACGATCGATTAATTGTCGATAACACATTTAATCGATAAACCTTATCGATCATCGATTAAGCAGGTTCATGCGCGTGCGTGCTGCTCAACCGCGAAACATGTAAGTGAGCGCGCCGGAGTTATGTTTGGGACTATGTTACACCATCATGACTAAGTTTGCGTGTGCATTCGCTGCCTTTTGTTTTGTGCAAATGTAAGTTGTAATAGTTTATTTTGTGTGCGCCTATCTATATCTGATTTATCTCATATTGGATGCATTTGGTTAGAAGCGTGATCTTTAGCGCGCGCAGCTCAAACGGCAATGCACGACTGACTATTGGGGACTTTCATACTACATAACATTATAAAGAGAACAATATTGTAATAAAACATTTGTGAATTATTTGGGTTTAGTTGCCGTGTCGCGTTGTTCCAGGAAGAGCGCTTCCACAACGAGTCATTCTGTATGGCACGTAGGCTAACTTAGTTCAAGTTCACTTGTGCATTCACGTCATTTTGTGCCGATATAATTAGTAATATTATGTTTATTTTGTTCATATCTGATTAATCGCATATAGGATGCGTTTCTTTGAGTTAAGTTAAATAACGCGCTAGCAAAGTGCTCATCGGTTATTCATTCAGCGCGCGCCTCTCAAGCAGAAATGCACAACTAATAATGACGATGATTAATTTAGGACCGTTATATTACATAACATGAGAACACTATTTTATTAAATCGTTGTGAATTCATTGGGTTTAGTTGCCGTTTTCAGTGCGTTGTTCCAGGAAGAGCACGTCCACAACAGTCACACATTCTGACAAGCACGCATCTGAGGCGGCGTTGGTGACACATAGTAGTCGTTTGATTATTAAATAATTAATTTAATTTAATTATCCATCACATCGCAACATTTTACAATCCTTAGCCCTTTATTTAGGTTAAAAAACATTCTCATTAATTTGGTGAGGAACAGCGTTTTGAGCAGCATTTGCAGACCCTGTCATGCTGTTGGCTATATGCCACTGCAGGAGACTCGTATTGCAGTATTAAGGCTAACGATTAATCGATTAATTGATCGTTAATTTAAACGACGATCGATCATGGGAATTTGTGAAAATTGACATCCCTAAATC